CCACATGATCATATCAATAGATGCAGAAAAACTTTTATAAAATCCAGCACTCATTTATGAGAAAAACTCCCAGCAAAGTAGGAATAGAGGGAACATAATGCAACAAATGCATAGCCAACATCGTACTCAATGGACAAAAACTACAAACATCTCCGTTAATATCAAGGACAAGACAGGGGTGTCCGCTTTCACCACTCTTATTCAATATAGTACTGGAAGTCCTAGCCACAGCAATCAAACAAGAAAAAGTAATAAAAGACCTCCAAATTGGGGGGGGGGGGGGAGAAGAAAAAAAGTAAAACTGTCATTTTCTGCAGAAGACATGATACTGTATATAATCTTGAAGAATCCACCACTCTCCCCCGAAAAAAACACTACTAAAAATGATTAATGAATTCAGTAAAGTAGGATATAAAATAAATATCCAGGAATCAATTGGATTTTAAAATTTTATTTATTTAAAAAGATTTTTAATTGATTTGATAGAGGGAGAGGGACACGCAGAGAGAAACATCAATGTGAGAGTGAAACTTCAATTAGTGGCCTCCTGCATGCCTCCTACTGGGGATTGAGCCTGCAACCAGGCCATATGCCCTGAGCAGTAATGGAACCGGCATGATCAACATCCAACTCACTGAGCTACACTGGCCAGGGCAGTTGCATTTTTGGAAAACTAAGAAAACAATCCCATTCAATTGCTTCAAAAAGAATAAAATACTTAGGAATAAATTTAACCAAGGATATAAAAGACTTGTATTTGAAAAATTATAAGATACTAAAGAAACTGAAGAAGATACAAATAGAAGCATATACCATGTTCAAAGAGAGGAAGAATTAACATCATTAAAATGTCCATAATACCTAAAGCAATCTATAGAGTCATTGCCATTCCTATCAAAACACCACTGACGTATTTCATGGAACTAGAACAAATATCCTAAAAATTTACATGGAACCACTAAAGACCCTGAATAGCCAGAGCAATCTTGAGGAAGAACAAAGTTGTAGGTATCATCCTACCTGATATCAAACCACACTACAAGGCCATAGTAATCAAACAACATGGCACTGGCATAAAAATGGATATATAGATCAATGACACAGAATACAGAGACCAAAAATAGTGAATTCATGAAAAAGGCAACAACACACAATGGGGGCCCTGGTCGGCATTGCTTAGTGGTTAGAGTGTTGGCCTGTGGACCAGAGTGTCTCGGGCTTCATTCCGGTCAAGAGCACATTCTGGGGTGGCAGGTTTGATTCTGGTCTGGCTGAGTATGGGAGGCAACCAATCAATGTGTCTCTGTCACACTGATGTTTCTCTCTCTCCTCTCCCATCCTCCTCCCTTCCACTCTCTCTAAAAATCAATGGAAAAAAATATCCTCACTCCTTGGGTGAGGATTAAGAAAAGAAAGGAACACACAATGGGGTAAAGACAGTCTATTTAATAAATGGTGTTGGGAAAATTAAACAGATACATGGAAAAAACAATGAAATCAGACTCTTCTTATGACACATACAAGAATAAAGTAAAAAATAGATTAAAGACTTAAATGTTTGACTCAAAACCACAAAAATCTTAGAAGAAAACATAGGCAGTAAAATCTTTCTCATAGTAATATTTTTTTCTGATATATTATCTCAAGCAAGGGAAACAAAAGAAAAAAATATCAACAAATGGGACCACATCCAACTAAAATATTTTTGCACAGCAAAAGAAATCATCAACAAAATGAAGAAAACCCACTGAATGAGAGAATACATTTGCCAATGATACATCTGATAAGGGGCTAGTGTCCAAAATTTATTAAGAACTTATACAACTCAACACACACAAAAACCCCCATCTAATTAAAAAAATGAGCAAAAAACCCAGGTAGACACTTTACCAATGAGGACATATAGATATCCAACAGACATATGAAAAGATAAGCACAATGAAATAATCACCTTATGCCTGTCAGAATGGCTACCATCAATAAATCAACAAACAAGTGTTGACAGAACATGGGAAAAAGGGAATCCTCCTCGTGCACTATCAGTGGGACTGCAGATTGGTGCTGCCATTGTGGAAAACAGTATGATGTGAACTTCAAAAATTAAAAATGGAACTGCCTTATGATCCAGCGATTCTACTCTGGGAATATATTCGAAGAAACCCAAAACATTAATTCTAAAGAATATATGCACCCTTATGTTCATTGCAATATTATTTACAACCACCAAAACCTGGAAATGTCTAGGTGTCTATCAGTAGACGAGAGGATTAAAAAAGCATTTACAGCCCTGACCGGTTTGGCTCAGTGGCTAGAATGTCGGCCTGCGGACTGCGAAGTCCCAGGTTTGGTTCTGGTCAGGGGCCTTGGTTGTGGGCATATCCCCAGTGAGAGGTGTGCAGGAGGTGGTTGGTTGATGTTTCCTTCTCATCGATGTCTCTAACTCTCTATCCCTCTCCCTTCCTCTCTGTAAAAAATCAATAAAATATATATTAAAAAAAAAAAAAAAAAGCATTTACACAGTGAAACACTACTTGGCCATAAAAAAGGAAATCTTATTTTTTGTGACAGTATGGATGGACCTAGAGAGCATATACTACATGAAATAAGCCAAAGACAAGTACCAAATGATGTCACTTATATGTGGAAGCTAATGAACAAAATAAACTAAGAAAATAGAAACACAGTTATAGATAGAAAACAGACTGACAGCTGTCAGAGGGGAGGGGAATTGCAGGCCTGGGTAAAAAGGTGAAGGGATGAAGCAAAAACAAAAAAACAAATCAAAACAAAAAAACCCTCATAGATACAGACAACAGTATAGTGATTACCAGAGAAAAAAGGGGATGGGGAGGTAGAAAATGGTATAAGGGGGATAAATGGTAATGGAAGGAGATTTGACTTGGGTGATGAACATACAATACAGTATACCGACTAAGTATTATAGAATTGTACACCTAAACCTTATATAATTTTATTAATCAATGTCACCCCATTGGTCAGTAAAGAAAAAGTTGTAATAGTCAACAATTTGAGTTCTGTTTGCTACCTGAAAGTAGGCAAATATATACATTTTTACTTAAATTAATGCTTTAGAATGTGTATTATTATAATCATTGTTAAAACTGTAATTAAAGTTGTTACATAATCAGATTATAAAAATGGCAGGAAAATGCAATTATCACTAATATCTTTTTTTCTTACTGTTAAAACACCCAGTAAATTTCCAATACTGTTGTACAAAATTCTAGACTATAAGATTTTCTTTCAATTAAATGTTAAGTGAAAAAGTGATTTTAAATATTAGATTCAGAAGGCCTATCTATATAAAATAGGCACCCAGTCCTCTCATGCTGTTACTATTGCTCATGCAAAACAAGTATAACAAAAATTTCTTAAAAGCAAAGTTTATGAAGATAAGAATTTAATTCATTAAATTAGCACATGAATTACCCATGAGATAATCTTCTCTGAAGGATATGTCCCAGTTCTATTAACAGAATTTTCTGATATGCATGAGGGCAAACCAGACTACATCCAAATAAAACCCAACACAGAGATAGGAGCAGCGGCCCATGCATGGAATTTATTGTGTGCTACTATTTATAAAATACTCAGATAGTCCTGCACATGCATAATAGTTCCAACTCAGACAGGAGACCATACAGAATACACTTTCTAGCAAACAAAACAATAGTTGGTTCCGCTGCCTGGAGCTCTGAGTTGTATTCCAGGGCATGAGGGAAGCAGGCCACCAAAGTAAAGGGAAATACCAAACTACAGTGGCAATCAATACAGTTCAATAATTGTGAAAAATTAGCACATGGTTCCATTTAATTTAACCAAGCAGTTCTGTAGCTATCAAAAGAAAATGTTCAACATGCAGTCTTGACTTTTATGCCTCCACTAACATCTGAATGATTGAACAGAAGCATTGTTGCTTCTATACTGCATTGCTTATTCAAAAACACTTCCAGATCATTTTAAAATTTCCTTTGCATCAAAACATAAAAAATGATAAAAAGCCAGCAGCAAATCATCCCGGTGGCTATTTAAGCAACTTGAATACTCACAATAAACTAAAATTTCTCATAACATCTAGGTAACTTATACATGTTGTACCTGTACATCATAGGTCTATATATTAAATATTTGCAAAATGAAAACATGCATACACAAAATACGTCAAGTTTTACAGACATGATTTGAATTAAAATTTACTTTGACAATGTACAAATTTCTCTTAATGTATCTTAAATGAGTAATTCTGTAATTCTGCATTAATTCTGAATTTAGAGGTTTTCTTTTTAAATCTCTGGGATGTAAATCTCAGAAGATCTGGACAAAAAGATTTTTAATTAGTTTTTGGATTTGTGTTCAAGTAAGAGAGTCCGTCTAGAAATAGGTTGTGCATTCATAATTTAAAAATACCAAGACTATATTACAGAATTAGCCACATTTAAGAACTATAGACCTGAGGTCAGCATTTTGTATAAACACCAACTGGGTTTCTCAGTATTTTTCAGCCCATAATTCAAAATACAGCTTAGTAACCTCAGAAATGTATTTTAAGACCATGCTAGTTCACCCTTTAAAGACATTCCATGGGGGAAAACGTCCACATTCGCTCTTAGGATTGCATTTGAAGTCATGGTTGAAAAAGAAAATCTAATTCTACTGAAGGGAAAAAGAAATCTCGTTTGTAAACTTAAATGTGTGAACCACAAGCATAAATGGAGGTGCAGTGCCCTCCAATTGAAATTGCCCCAAGCCCCTTGCTCACTGCTCTCTACCATGGCAGCGATGACCCAATCTTATCAGACAGCACAATATGTCCCAGGGCCCTCCAGCCTTCGTCCAGGAAGGGGGCTGAGGTCTCAAAAGCACAATGGTTTCTCCAGAGGGATTGTGACATTTACAGTCAGCTTGGCCGACCCCTCCAGCTTCTCGGGTAATCTGTCCATTTGGGGCCCGAGATGTGAGAGTCCCTGGGAAGCCGTGGGTCACTGGGCACTATGGTTGCCAGTCCCGTGGTTCTCAGTGGCATGTGCGGTGTTCAGAGAATTGAAACCATCTGGTTGTACTGCATCTTTCCGGGGTGGCATTCTCTCATTGATCCTATCCAAACCCTTTGCCTCTTCAAAACTGCAGATTCTATGTGGTGGAGAGAATCCTCGTATTGCTTAACAAAATGCAAATTTGATAAGTCAGTAATTGAAAAACATTTGAGATTTCAAAAACATAATAATTTTAAGAAGACATTAGCAGTATGTAGTAATATTTAAATCTTATTTAATCCTATCCCCATTCCAGACTTCCCCTTAAAATATGAAACGTTTAAACTTAAATGTAGACATGAAAGCATCATAGATGACAAGTGTTAGCAGAGCCTTTAAAAACACACACACACACACAAATAACCCTTCCGTCTCCAAAATCAACATCTAGGCAATGGTCTCAGGGTTTCAATCTGACCTCTACTACACCAATTACCCCCAATATCACAAGGACTGTCACAGTAAGGAGGCTAAACAAGGTTAATCCTCAACATACAAACCTGTGTCAAAAGCTTGGGAGGAGAAAAGTAAAGTTAAAATTTAGCAGATCAGACCTATCTTGAAGGCCTATCATCACTCCATCACCACCAATATGAAAAGAAAAAGGTGGGAAATGCCTCCAGGAGTTAGATCTGTGTTTGGCTGATAGCAAAAAAATATTTATAGTTTCATATTTTGGAAGATTTCATCTTTAATTCACTGGCCATCCACTGCATGTTCTTGAGAAACCCACATAAAAATAAATGGTAATTCTCCTCCAATTGTTATAGTTTCTCATTTACTTTATCTGGAATGATGTATCCTACATTAAAATGTGCATAGAAAGGATTTCCATACTACTGATTGAAATGTAGTTGCTTTAATATGTGTAAATCCTGGGATTCAGAGTCAGCAAAGCATTTGCCAATGTGTAATTTTAAGGCAATACATGGTATACATGAATATATTATTATTATCAGCAAACACTAGCCCAAACTGCAACAAAAACAAAATCATAGTGACAGCTTCTGCACTTATGTCTAGAGTGGGGTTAACTTAGGGAAAAAATAATCTGAGTAACACAAAATCATGCAAAATATGTAATAGATTTTTATATGCAACTTTAAATGCTATAGTATTATAGCATAACATGCTGTACGCTAAAGAACTCAGAAACATTAAATACTTGGATAATATACTATAGAAGGGGAAAACCCAGATTGTCATTATGGAAATCAGTCCTTGTGATTAAAAAAAGAGAGAGAGAGAAAGAGAGAGAAAGGTGACAAACTGGATGAGTCAGTGAGTCTGATTCATCTTGGGTTGTGCAAGACACATCCACAGGACATTCTCTGATGCCCACCCACACACCACAGTTCCCTGCCCAGCGCAAGGACTCTGATCGTACCTTTTTCAGCCTCAATAGCCTCAACTGTGGCTGTACAGAAGTGAGCAGAGGCATGCAAAATGAATGAGAGAGATGAGAAGGGTCATATTGTACAGCAGAAAAGGCAATGATCACTTAAAATATCACATACCCCATACTACATCATCATTTACAATTTAACATAATAGTACCCGTATTACAGAGCCCCATCCAATCCCCCTTCCTAATACAGCACAGTTTACACACAGCACTATGACAACATTGCTCAGAGCACAGAACACACAGATCTTCTGTATACACAGACACCTCAGCACCCATGCAAATGCACTCCAGTATTAATTACCCATCTTGAGTTCAGTATTGTGATGGCCTTAGAATTTTCCCAAGTTTATTATATCATACCCTTCACAATCACAAGGAAATTCTCTAGGGTGAAATTATGATGGTAGAATTGCAGCAGGAGAACAAACAAGAGATTCTTTACTTCCTAAAGTAATACTCATTAACAGTTGGTTCCCTAAGATATAAACTAGGAAAAGTTAGCAATGTTATTCCTGTTGTTTCTCATTCATAGGGCAAAGCATAAGCTGCAAAAATTGATATGGCTACAATGAAATTTAAGGGCAGTAAACATTGTGAATTACTCTAAGTAGAACAGTTCTGTAGCTCTGTTCTTTGTGGGTAATCTAAAAGGACCCCCTCTTGTCTATGAGGAACTTCCTTTCTATTCTAACATTGGTGTTCCAAATATCTGAAGATTAATATTTATAGCCTTAATAAAATCCACTTATGTTCATGAACTCAAATCTGCCTCAGGTACTTATAACCTACATTCTTAAGTGAAGACATGTAAATAGCTATTGAACATCTTTTCAATCCCAGCTACCAACTCAAAAGGAATCAAGAGAATGAACTGAGGTCGTATGGGCAATAAACCCTAATTATTTTATGATGTGAACATACACATAGGTCATATAAATAAGAAATGCATTCTTGGTAAAGCTTGTCTCTACCCTATTTAGAGAATTTCAACATATTTCATTATACATTTTATAGTCAAAGATTCCTTCAGCTCACTTCTGTGTTCAAATTGTATAAAACACTCACATTGAGAATGAGGACAATAGTGCCAATTCTCCACATTAGCCAAATAAACATACTAAGAATATTTACAACAATAATGCCAGATCCCTTCTATTTTGCTTCTAGAATAGGCCACTTAGAGTTATTCTGGAAACAACCTTTTAGCAGTATACATCATTTAGAAATAAATTTTACCCAAAACAATTTTTAATGTGAAAGGACATTGGTGAGTCTAAGGAATTAAAGTAGACTACATTAGGAAAGGTTGCTGAACTCAACCAGATAATAAAATGAAATGGAGACCCAAAAGAAGTAGGATGAACACTGAATAGAGAAGAATTAACTCTCCTTAACCATGAAAAATAAATAAAAGCAGACATACTTATTGCATACCACTGTACAAATCACCATTTACAAAATCTAGCCCTGTACATTTGGACAATACTCTTAGAATTTTCCCAGACAGAAAACTGGGATAAATGACATATCTTATCTTGACCAGCCTTGGAACACCTATTCTTCAAAATATGGACTATTTTCTTTATAATTTAGAAAATTCCAATTAGAATATTTTTAGAGTTTGTAGTACAAAAATAATTTTATATGAAATATTTAATAACTTGTATTATATATGGCAATGAATTAAAAATAAAAACATGTCACTATAAGAATTGGCATTTGAGTGTGTCAAAAGTTTGTTTTTAAGTTTTAAGGATGTCATCTGTACTTTTTTTTTTTTAGTGTGTCAATAGTTTAAGTCTGCTAATAAACTTTTAAAATAATGAAATGTGACATTGTATTTTTAAAATTGTTCTATGGTCTTTAAATTTGATATGTAAAAAATGTTTTATAGGTCAAATGATAATCTGTCCTTTCCTGAGGCCTCTAAATGATTCTAAATTCTTTGTAGAATACAAAATAGCTTATCATACTCAAAGCTGCATAACATGTCAAACTTGAATGTCAAACTTAAAATTAAAAGTTAATTTGAAACTTGAATATTGAAGTGAAAAGAAAAAGATATGATAATTGCAAAATTTTATCTGAAAGACACTATTTTTCCTCTACTTCTTTTCAGTTTTATAGACCATCTTGACATGGCCTTAAAAAGTTTTAGTATAGTGCTGTCTCAAATTGTGTTCCACAATATTATACAAGATAAATGATCAAGATGAATTAGACATTACTAAAAACAGAGATGGCCATATATTTTCCCATATAGCTCTTAATGAAGTTAGCAATAAAGGACTAGCACTCAATCAAATTTCCATGAAGAAAATGCACAAAAAATATATTGAATACTACTCCAATGGAGTTGTGCAGTTTGTAGTAACACGAGAAATATCACAAATTAACATTAGAGTTATTGAGAATACAATTTTTATTTTCTGACAACAGAACTGAGATCTTAGAATTTAAAAACTTTCTTTTTGCAATACTTAATTTCCAGTTATTCAGGTCAGGAAACATGTCTACTAAAATTTAAAATGTTAGATAAGCTTGTAAAAAACAAAATTGCAGCTTTTGTATGAGTTTCATGATTTGTTTCAAAATAAGTTAATCTTATACTAGGGAAATCACTTCAACCAAATAGTCAAACTACTCTATTAAGCGCCATCACTGGCAGAACTAGGGAGCTATCAGTTTTCCAAATTGGATCTCGTTAGCTCAGCACCAACCAGTAACTCACTATCCTGGGAATAGACAGTTCCTTCCGTAAAGTTGTCTTTCAAACCTTCCCTGAAGACCCTAGCTGATTTGGCTAAGTGGATAGAGCATTGGCCTGCAGATTAAAGGGTCCCAGGTTCCATTCAGGCCAAGGGCACAGGCCCTGGTTGCGGGCTCAATCCCCCCCAGTAGGGGGCATACAGGAGGCCACCAATTAATCATTCTCTCTCATCATTGATGTTTCTACCTCTCTCCCTTCCTCACTGAAATCAATTTATTTGTGTATGAAACCCTTTCAGTTTTCTTTTTCTTTTCTGAACAAAGGGGAAGGGTATAACATTTTTCAAGCTATTAAAACTCATCCTTTTTCTATTAACACTGTTACAAGTTTTATTGAATGTTTAAGATTTTAATTTGTTTCAATCAAATTTTTTAAATTCATTTGTCTAATGTTTACAATATAATAAAGAAATAGAGGGCAAGGGAAATAAAGAAAATAAAAGCAGATTTGTAGAAAAATCAAAAAAGAAGACTTCATCCAGAATAAAAATTTGAAACTGCAATTTCAAAGCATAGCTGTATTTCTCACACATGCCAGTGGTGGTAGCAGACAACACAAATACACATAAAATAGAACATAAATAGGCTACAAGTAGAAATTATTTGTCTACAGAAAAAAATATTTTTACTTATTTAAGCATTTATTAAGAGACTGAGTGAAATGAAATTGTGAAAAGCCAATCAAATTTAAATTTATCTTAAACTTTAAATTAAAATTTCCTTTTTGTTTTTGCTTTAAACATTTCCTAATTTTAACACCAAAAAGAAAGTGTTAATTGTGACTAAGGAAAACATCAGATTTATTGCTACCCGTTTTAATAGAGCAGTGACCCTTGGAGGGCTGTCAAAAGTGGCTACAATAAAACAAAATTAAGCTTTCATATTACATTTTTTGCTATCCAACCACAAGGGAAGAAATCTAAACTTAGAGTTACTGTGCATAGTCTATAACATTCACAACACTCGTCTATTTAATCTGTAATGGGCTTTCAAAAAGTTAACCCAGAATTTTACACAAATATTTACTATAAAAAAAAAGTTTTTAAAAAAAATATATTCAATGAGCCAGATTACAGGAATGCTTTACGTATAATTCTTTTTATTTTCATGCAAAATAAAGGCACACTTAATAACACCCTTTTGATTTTGACTTACAGGATTTAAATTTAACCCCTTATAACAATGACTTAATATCTGATGATACATTCATGTTCAGAATGCACAAAGTGCAGCAACGGAATGCAGCAAACTTCAAAACAAGGTGCTACAAAGTTGCTTCGACATCAAAAGGCAGACAAGTGTCTGATAGAGTAATTTAACATACTTTTACAGACATACAGCTAACCTAAAGAAAGACAGACAGATTTAGGAAAACAGCTACATCTGCAGAGGAAGGAAACAGCATGTTACAGACAGTCGATTATACATAGAACATTTGACAAACACCATAGAAAACAAACTTTGGCATCATTTACCAGGGTACAAAACCTTGCACAAATCTTTTAGCAAGTAAGTGCATAAGTAGTGTTCTGGGCCCAAGCATATTATTAATTTTAAAATTACGTATCTGATAATGAAACATAGTTAATACAATTATATAAATTTAAAAAAATAAGAAAGTTGAAATTACATTTCCATTTTAGTAATATAGCATATCCTGGATTCACATTCTGAAACTGAGGCTTTTAAAAGAAAAGGGTGCATTAGATCGATAAATAAATAATTAATTAAATAAATATTTCAGACATTATGAATGGAGCTGCTCCCATATCATTTCATGAAAACCTAAGACTATTATTTTCAATTGAAATGAATACTCATTGTCAATTTTCTGCCCTGCTCAGGTTATTAATCAGATACTACCTATCATATAGTATTCCACCTATGTCAGCTGCTGAGACAGGAACTAAAAAGCAGAAGGAATTCCCTGCATGCATTATGTGTATTGTTAGCAAAAGAGTGAGGTGTGCCCCAGTCCATCTGAGGCACAGCAAGTTGCATAACATCATTACCACTTTGCAGGGTCTGCCGTCCTCCCGCCAACACTCCGCTAGGCAACATTCCTGTGGGAGTCAGACCTTTGAGTGTCAGCACACTTTCACTCTCCTCCCTATAGCAGAAAGATATAACAGACATCAAAGGCATCCAGTAAGTTCTTAGTTTAAAAGAGAAGATGGGTCCAGATATAGCCCATGCATATAAATTTATGATGTGCATTACTATTACCATATTTTTCTCAATTGCAAGATATACATTTTCCCCTATTCTAAATGCTTCAGATATGAAGCTGTATCTCACTACTGAAGCATATATTGCTTTTTATGAAAAACTTTATTAAATAAATATATGGTAAGGTTTATCATCAATGGGACTGACCCATTCATGTGAGCCTTTCCTAAATGAGCCTCAGGAAGATAATTTGTAGCTCCAACAAAAGGGACTTCTTATACAGATGAACAAATTAATAAAAAACACTCTAAAAAGTGCCCCTTCCTTCTTAGTTTGCTTTAATTTTCAATGTGTAGATTCTTTATCACAAAGGACAAGAGATACCAAAGGTGAATAATAATAATCACAAGAGCCAAAAACCCTAGTTTCAAAGGGACCTGTGTTCCCCTCTTCAATGTGTAAATGCAGAACTTCTTTAGAGAGAGAATACTACTACATTACTTTTAGATGTCAAACAGAACACTGCTTGTCAACAAAGCACAACACAAATAATTTCTCTGAAACAAATAATTAGAAAAATGTATCATTACCTGAGAACAGAGAAGACTCTTGCCATCTTGCCAATTGCTCGAATTTTGTTTCTTATGATTTCTTTCCGAGCGGCAGCTGAACCTACTTTCAATGGAATAAATAAAGACTCAGGTTTAGGGCATTCACTTGCACCATTCTATTAGCCTGTTCCACACTCATCTGAACCAACACCAGGCCCCCTGCCACCAGCTCACATGTGGAAGACTAGATAAACTCATGCCAAAAAGCTTCTTACTCCTTTAATGTTTAGCTCGACATTGATCTAATAACTGGGGTCTGATACAGATGAAAATGAAAAGTAATCCATAAACTTAATGATGCCCACACTACTGAATATTAATAAAACGGCAATGGGAAGAAACTACAACCCAACTTGTATCACAAAACAAATGACAAAAAAACGATAACAACCCTACAGTCTTTTATTCTCACGAGAGCCAATGGCATGCAGACTAACAGACAAAAATGGGTAGCAGCCTGCAGTTTCCTGTTTAACTATTATAAAAAAAAGCCTTTGGCATGCAGGCTGGAAATATCTCATTATACTATGACAAAATAAGCTTCCTTGCTCTCTAAAAATAATGATATGAAGCCACTACTACGCAGGTGATCCAGAACTAAGGGCCACACCAGGCATTTCAACAGCAACGCGCATCTCAATCTCATAAACTAGCTATTTCCTAAGGCCATGCAAATATATACAAGTTCTTGCTTCCCTAGGTGAATAAGACACAAGGAGAGTGAGCAATGACAAAAGACTCCCTAAAAAATACCTAAAGGATAACCAATGCTTCATTTCTTTTATTTTTTTCTTTGCTTTCTTTCTCTCCTTCCTTTTTTCCTTCCTTCCTCCCTTTTGAGAATTTTTATGACTTTATTTTAGAGTCAAAAATGAAGACAATTGCTGAGGAGCAGATATCATATGCTCTCTAATGCTTCATTTCTAAAAGGTTAGTTGTGCTGTCTATCACTGATACAGAAGAGAACATACCAAAAATAACTGAATATTTAGCTGATGAAACACTAAAAAGAACAACATCAATCTCAGTCCTGTCATCTCATATTCAGCATCTAGAATCACTCGGGACCCAAGAGTATGGTTTCTTAGAACTGTGCTTCAGCATGATGAAAACACACATAGGGAAGCACCATGGTTGAGGAGAAAGTTAAGGAAAGGTTAAAGACACTGGACCAAAAGGGGCCTTAGGTATACAATGGTCTGAACAATCATAGTCTTCTGGACTAGAGCAACTCATTTAAAATTCAAGCATCCCACAAACATATATAATTAAAAACTATGATGATGACTGGACCTTACTGCAAGGAAACAGAAAAGACATCCAATTTCAAAGATGAAAACAAGACTCATTTTAGAGAAAATAGGCTCCATACCATCTTTATGATGCTATAAAGGGCAATATTATGAGTACTGAAACTACAGCTTTTATAAGTCCAAAATGGTGTTGGTACCATGGCACCACCAGGTATTTTTAAGATGAAACAAAACAAAACAAAACAAAACAAAAACTAAAAATCTCAGAATTGTATAATATTAAAATTTGAAAAAACATTAAGATATTGCAAAGTTAAATCTCCTCATTTTATAGACAAATAAATCAAGTTTACTAAGTATTTTACCCAGGGATATAAAGTAAGTCTGATTCTCCTAAAATAAATTAATATATACATTTTGTTTTAAAATTGACAAGATTTTTTAAATAGCTAGGAGAGGGGTATGGTGATGGCTGTAATAGAGTATACTGAATTTTCAGTAATAATTTATATACCTGTAAAACTGAATGCTATGTAAACTAGAGATTTAAAATTAAAAAATTCACTGGAATATAAACGCATTGTACAAATCAGGGTTTTAAATCAGTCTACAAACACATCATGCATAATATTAAAGTAAATGCCCACAGTAAAATTAATTCAGGGAATAGACAGACAATCCAACACCCCTAATCATGCAGGGAAAAGTACAAAACATTACAAATAAGCAAAAGAATGAAATTTAAAAACAAGAGGAATGAAAAAGAGGGGAAAATATTTCCATGCACAGAAAGACAGATATCTTGGAATATGACTTCTAAAACATCAAATTCTAACATAGATAAAACTTAAACTAAACTTTCACAAGGCCCAAGAGGACTCTGCATAAAGAGTACTCAATGAATGTGCTGACTTACATGGACATGAGGACAACTTATGAAGTCATATTTCAAAACAATGTTACTCTGTCTGGTCTGTACCTTTTTTATTGCCATATATGAGCCGTTCTTCAGATGGAGAGTCCAGAAAAAAGGAAGTGAATGATGAAGAAAAGGTGGTTGAGACAAATAAAAAGATAGAGATTTAACTTGGCAGTGGTACTGAAGAATGAATGTAGAAAGAGAGAAAAATGAAGACCCTCATATTTGAAACTTGAAAAATGTAGTATTGTAAATAAAAGAGGGATGCCACTATGTAGAGCTCTAAAGGAAAGATTTCTTAAAAGATATGTGTTCAGAAGAAATTATGGACAGAATGAGGATAATACTGGGTGAGAGTAGACAAATTAGGGACAAAAATACATGTGAAAACACATAAGACTGATAAAAGACTGTGCTAACAACAATTGCACACTTATATTGATACCCCTAAAGAAATCTATCACTCATGGAAGTATGTTAAGTGAAAGGTAATGACACAAATATGATACAAACTCATGTGGTTCTTCAAGGACACCAACATCTGCAAAATCTGTAGTATATACAGAGAAATGTAGGTAACTTTATTAACTACCTCAGTGGAAAACCTCACCCACTCCCAATGAAGGAAAGACTAAGCCTCCCACACTTCATAACAAGAGCACACAATTTCTTGAATCTGAATTGTAGAAACTTTGCTCATACTCAGGATCAATAGTATGTGCTTTTTGTTCCTAATAGAATCTGAAAGTTTGAGGGACATCTTTTTGCAGAAATAGTAACAGACTGTTTCAAAGCAAGTAACAGCTCTAAGAGTAGGCAGCAGAGATGTTTCATCTGGGCTCTCCATATCTTCCATTCTAATGCTGAATGAGATACATGATTCCAATTATAGGAAATGCAGTTTTAGTTTAGTAAAACTATAGTACATGTGAGTTATGTATTTTCTTTACCAAACTCAAGATATCACAGTAATCAGTGTTCAAAAATTCTTTAATAATTAAATAATACCTCTAAAATGAATGCTATATGCATTTATACTTGCTTGCAATGTTTATGCAAATATTTGACTTAACAATAACCCCACACATACATTATTAAACAATACAGAAAACCAAAGACTATCACTTAAAAAGAAAAAGAATCTTATTCCTTCACCCAATTTCAAACCTGAATATGCAAAAATTACTCTTTCCTTCCTGCCACTGGGAAATCTCCAATCTTGTTCTCTCCCTTTTCCCACAGAAAAGCTAAACTGTTACAGAAATCCTTGCCCAGCCAACTTTTATTTTTAAGTCGGATTTCTCCCCAGGCCCAGTCCATAGGATGGTTCCACTGCTGAAGAGAAAAAGGAGGAGAGGACAGAAGACATTCTATCATGGTGAAAGGAAAGAAGAAAAGATGGACAGAATTATGGGGAAAAAATGAAGAAATACGAATAAGAAAGGAAAATAAACCTACTTCCCAAAGCTCTTTTCCCTATCCCAGCCCAGTATCTATCCTAATTTTATCCCCTTTTCCTCATTCCTCAGTGTTCTTCCTCCCCTAAACCACTCATTCCCTCATGCAGGCTCCAAGAGCCACACTCTTAAAATTTTCTTGGAGTCCTTGCTTCTAATACTTGAGTATAAGGTGAAAAAAAGAGGAATTCATTATATTTTCTTATAGAAACACTGTCATAAATAGTGCTACCAATTTTTAAAATTACTTAAGAGTAGGAAAGAATCTTCATCCTCTCTATTATTCCCTGAATCTACGAATGAGAAGATCCTGAGAAGTTAGGTAACTTTTCCAGGATTACACAGCTAATAGTACAATGGTAGCTCTGAGACATCTGACCCACTGATCTTTTTCACACTGCCTCTTTAATAATCAAATGTGATTCATCCCTGGAGTGTAAAAATGATATAACAAGTGCATGAATAAGCACAATTTATTATTGATAGGGAAAATATTGATAAGACACATTAAACCTCAAAACTATAGTAGTAATTTATATTTCCAATTGAATTCCCAAAAAAGATTTATATTCATATAAATCATAGGTATTTAAACCACATACATTCCTAGATTTAACCAGAAAATGTTTTTTCCTTTTTATTACAGGAAGAGGACTGAAGCATTATCTCTCATTGCTCCTATTTAACAATATTGATATAATTTTTAAAGAATAAAAGGAAAAGGGAACAATATAGAAATTAGCAATATTGATGTAATTTTTAAAGAATAAAAAGAAAAGGGAACAATATTAAAAAAAATAATATCAGCTTTTTGCAAATGACTTAAGAGAAACAAAATACTTATTACCATAGAAAATAATTTTTCTGACCCAAGCTGTTGAACATTAGATAAACCCACAAATATGTAATTTCTTTATACACAGAAAATTATGCTCAGAGATAACCAGTTATAATAGTAATAAGAATATAAAATATTAAAGTATTAATTTAACTTGAGAATAACAATTTTTTCTCAAAGGAAAATGGTAATTTTAAGTGGAATAATTATGTATTAAATATATTAAATAAGATATTATAGCAAGTGAACTAATTATATAGAGCAAAAGAGCTTGATCTTAGTTTGGAAAAACTAATTTTTTTAAAAACTTCCTAGATTTAGATAGTTTTGTATTGTTTTTGTTAATCCTCACCCAAGGCTACTTTTCTGTTGACTTTTAGAGAAAGCGGAGGGGGAGGAGACAGCGAGTAACATGAATGTGAGAGAGACACCTCAATTGCTTGTCTCCCACACGAGCTCTGACAAGAGCCAGGGATGAACCTGCAACCGAGCCATGTGTCCTTGACCGTAATTGAACCCAGGACCCTTCAGTCTGAGGGCCAATGCTCTATTCACTGAGCCAAACAGTCTAGGGCTAGATATATAGTTTTAATATAATTGCAATGAAAACTCTTACTAGGTATTTCACAGAATTTGGAAAATTAACACAAAAGTGTATCTGAAAATATTAGTGGGCTATGTACCAAAAATTATTTCAGTTATTATATCAATACCTATAAAGTTACCATTATCTTCATTTGGAAGATAAAAAAATTGAGGTTCAGAAAGGTTAAGTAACTTGCCTGAGGCCACACAGCCATTATAAGGAACTAGAATCTGAACCCAGACCTGGTCTTAAAAAGATGGTAGCAGAACAGGGGAAAGAAATACTTAATTAAAACTATTTAAAAATTGTATGGCCCAGCCAACATGGCTCAGTGGTTGAGCGTCAACCTATGAACAAAAGGTCACAGTTTGATTCCTGGTGCGGGCACATGCCTGGGGTGTGGCATCGATCCCCAGTGGGGGGCATGCAGGAGGCAGCCAATCAATAACGATCTCTCATCCACAGATGTTTCTATCTTTCTCTCCTTCTCCTTTCCTCTCTGAAATCAATAAAAATGCTTTTCAAAAATTGTATGGAAAAGAGAAATATGAAACATGTTAAAATTAAAAACTTGTACACAAACATGAAAAAGAGAGAGAGTCAAAATAAGGAAAAATTAATACTATTCAGTAAAGCTCCCCCCCAAAAGTGACATAATTTATTTTACTCTAAAAAACTAGAGAGAAAAAAAGCATATCTCTGCCTGTCACCAACAGATGGCAATTGCAGACACTTGCACACTGACACTTTGAACAGACAGGCTTACAACAGGGTTTAAGAAATCAAACCTGGTTAAAAATAAAAAAGTGCCTTGAAACCAAGAAAGAGGCATAGGTAAACACCTAACCTGTTGCCTTGTACAACAATTTCAAAACCCCAACTGAAAGATATAACGGACATCATCAAGAACCACAGGAAGGCTGGCTGAGTGGAAATTCTACAACTAGAAGGAAAGAGAAAAGCACACTGAGTCTCAGAGGTGCTGCAGGAGGCAGAGGTACTGAGGCGCGCACGGAGAGGACTGGCAACTGAGTGCGCAGCTGGCTTTCTCAAGTTGGAGGGAGACAAAAGCTCCAGACTGTGCTAAACTCCAGTTCTGGGCAAGACTCTGGGGACCTAGACTCATTCGGGGAGAAAGTGGACTGTCTACAGCGGGTGGAACTTGAGGGCGGCTTTCTCTCAGAGGTCCTTGCAGCAATTACCATAAGACAGAGACACAGGGGCCTATTAGGGCAGAGCTGATGAGAAACCAATGCTGTCTGCTCCGCCCTGAGACTCCACCCCATTCAAGCTGAGAACAGACGCTTTGCAAGTTTTTCCCATAAGGGTATCTCCAGCACTGAAGTTCTCCCAGCGTAGACACAGCTGATCCTCACAGCCAATTGGCCTGGAGGTCAGTTCCTCCCAGTGATACCAACAACAATCAAGGCTTTACTACAACAAGACTGTACACACAGCCCACAAAGGGGTGCACCAAGAGTGTCCACCTAGATAACTGGGGAGGTGAGCCACTGGGCCTTATAAGAAACCTAGCACACAAAGCCATTCTATCAACTTAGGGAAGCAGCTAAAATGTAGAGACAAAGAAATAGGTTACAAATGAAAGAAATAGAGGAAAGCAAACAACTGGATATAGAGTTCAAAACCACAGTTATAAGGTTTTTTCAATAATTTTCAAGAAAAGGCCAATAAATTTAACAAGACGCTCAAGGATATGAAAAAGGACCAACTAGAAATTAAACATACACTGACTGAAATAAAAACATTTATACAGAGCTCTAACAGCAGACTAGAGAACTGCAAGAATCAAGTCAAAGAATTGAAATACAAAGAAGCAAAAAACACTCAACTGAAAAAGCAAAAAGAATGAAAATAGTGAAAGGAGCCTCTGGGACAACATCACACGTACCAACATCTGAATTACTGAGGTGCCAGAAGAAGAGAGAGAACAAGATACTGAAAACCTATTTGAAGAAAACTTCCCCCACCTGGTGAAAGAAATAGACTTACAAGTCCAGGAAGCGCACAGAACCTCAAACAAAAGGAATCCAAAGAGGACTACACCAAGACACATTATAATTAAAATACCAAGAGCGAAAGACAAATAGAGAATATTAAAAACAGCAAGAGAAAAACAGTTACCTACAAGGGAGCACCCATACGACTGTCTGCTGATTTCTCAACAGAGACTATGCAAGCTAGACGGGAGTGGCAAGAAATATTCAAAGTGATGAATAGCAAGAACCTACAACCAAGATTATTCTACCCAGCAAAGCTATCATTCAGAATTGAAGGGCAGATAAAGAGCTTCACAAGATAAGAAAAAGCTCAAGAAGTTCATCGCTGCCTAACCAGTATCATATGAAATGCTGAAAGGTATTCTGTAAGAAGAGGAAGAAAAAGAAAAAGGTAAAGATAAAAATTATGAACAACAAATACATATCTATCAACCAGTGAATCTAAAAATCAAGTGAATAAAAAAATCTGAGGAACAGAATAAACTGGTGAATACAATAGAATCAGGAGCATAGAAAGAGAGTGGACTGACAATTTTCGGGGGGAAAGGAGTGTGTGGGGTGCAGGAAGAGACTGGACAAAAATCGTATACCTATGGATGAGGATAGTGAGGGGTGGTAAGGGCAGAGGGTGGGTGGGAATTGGGTGGAGGTGAGCTATGGGGGGAAAAAGAGGAGCAATTGTAATAATCTGAACAATAAATATTTATTAAATTAAAGAATCAAACCTGTTTGTAAATAGAGAAATATCAAAATAGGTTTTATTCAGATTTTACTTGATAAGGGGTCAACTGAAATGGATGGTTTACACTGTTAGAAAAGTAGACAGTAATTTCTTCCCTTAACTTCAATGAACTGTAAATTAAGCCAACTATAATTTCTTTCTATATAGCCACCAAGCAAAATAAGTAAAAATGAGCAAAATCCAATGAGGTGGGCCTGTGGAGAAATAGATTAATGGATTCATTGCTAGAAGCACTTCATACTGGTTCAATTCTTCTGCAAAGTAATCTGGCAATTCATAGCTAAAATTTATATTCTTTATAATTCTCTTCTAGAAATTTATTCCAAGAAGGAAAATAAAAATTATTGTACAAATATGATTACTCATAATAAGGATAACTTAAAATTACCCAAATGCAAAAACAAAAACAAAAACAAAATTAACTATGAAAACTATTATATATTAATAAACTTAGAAAAAGTTATTAAATTTTTCCATTATACAAACCATGTTAAATGCACGGGAACATTTTATGTACTATTTATAACTATGAAAAGTATGCTATAACAAAGATATGAAGGGATATGGAAGAAAATAAAGTTTTTAGCTTATAAGTTATTTATGTCCTTATTTATTCAGTGAATTAAGTTTACATAAATATTTAAATTTAAAAGTTTAAAATAAAAATTTCAAAACTAAAATAAAATGAATTTTGTTTCTGCAGTTTTAATTTATACAACAAATGCACAGTAGGTACATAGGCTGGTTGGCTTTCATAAGAACTAACAGCCATGTACTGGTATAACTTTGTTTCCATGGAAAATACGCTTTCTGAATCTCAAACTAAACAAACATGTGATTTCTTAGAATATAACAACTCACTGATAAGTTGGGACAGCCTACTTTTCTTTTTGGAAAGACGCAGTAACAACAAAATTCTGATGCACTAAGCAATATTATGACAATAAAACAAAGAGAATTTTTATCCTTCCTTCTCTAAGCAGTGTCTATATTCATGAAGAACGACATCCTTTTACACCTTCAGTTTTCCTTTCATTCTGTTATTTCTTCCAAATTTCGCCCCCAAAATTTACCTTCTTCCCCATACAAACAAAAATAAAATCATTAAAGTTATTTTTTAAATCTTAAAATAATATCAGAAAAAGTGACCAGTGCTTATCAAATAACGTAGTCATTTGAGATCAATGATTATATTTTGCAAAAGAGTGTGTACTAAAGCTGGCAGTTCAAAGGTATCATTTCACAATGAAAAAATAGTAAAATGAATAATCATACCATCAAATTGGTCTTCACCTTCAGTCATCAGTTCATCATCAGAGCAAATACTCAGAACATTTACCAACATTTCTGTCACTATTCCAAAGGAAAAAAAGAAAACACCAAGTTACACATTTACTGCTTATATTCAACTGTCTGTATATATATACATATACATATATAAATATTCATATATAAATACAGCACTTATTTATATAAATGGTCAAATGATTAACCCTAAACTAACACATTCTGGTAGCAGGAATGTCAAAATTAAAAGACATAAAGGCTTTCAAAATGGAAGAAATTCAAAATTCAATGGATAATAACTCTGAGAGAGATTCTTTACAGAATAAATTTTTAGGTCTCTCAGAGGAAAAAAGGACCTATAGAGATAAAAAAAAAATCTACATATATACATTTAAATTCTTCACTTATGGATTCAGCATTAAGGAGTACAAAATATCATAGCAGTTTTACTGTTGCAAAAAAGTCCCAGGACTCAATCTGTTTGTTTTTTTTAATTATTTATTTTAATTTAAATTCTTTATTGTTTAAAGTATTACAAGCATCTCCTCCTCCCCCCCACCCACCCCCTATTGACCTCTTAAAATCTGGCTCCAACAACTCTCCTGAAACTTAATTCTTAAGATTATCAATGACTAACGACCTGAACCCATGATCTATTTATAATGGGTTCTTAGGCTTAATCTACCTTTACATTCTATATATTTTTCTCTTGGTTTCCAAAATTCTACTCTTATGGTTTTTTTACCTTTAGACTATCCATCTACCCGCAAATTTGGATATTCTGAAGATTCTCTCTGCAGTCATGCTCTTTTTATACAGTCAAATTTCTTAGTGATTTTATCTACTACAATATAGTTTAAAGTATCAACTTTTAAAAGACAATTCCAAATTCTATATCACCAGTCTTGACCTTTCTTTCAAAATGGATTTCCTTGCTGGTTTTATTGGTAACCATCTTAAACTACTTGTATATTGTCTGTTTCTTCTACTAGAATGGAAGCTTCACAAGTGCTTCCATTTTTGTTGGCTGTTGTATCCCCAGAGCCTAGAACAGTGGCCTGGCCCATGATAGGCATTCAATAAATATCTGACAGATAAGTAAAAAAAGAAAAGTGTAATAAATTTCAATTAATAAATAAAAATGTCTTCCAATCCTCTGGTGGCACCTAGAAATGGACAGCTCTGGGACTCATATATAAAAGTCCAACCCCTACTCTCCAAAAAGCTTACTAACTACTGAAGAATATATATGGTGTGTATTATATATGCATGCCACAGAAGAGGGATGAGTACAGCACTATACTATAAGTATATACAGGTATACCAAAGATATGCTAGGGCAGTGGTCAGCAAACTGCAGCTAGTGAGCCACACGCGGCTCTTTGGCCCCTTGAGTGCGGCTCTTTCACAAAATACCACATGCGGACATGCATGTTCAGTGCTATTGAAACTTCGTGGCCCATGCACAGAAGTTGGTTTTCGGCTCTCAAAAGAAATTTCATTGTATTATTGATATTTGGCTCTGTTGACTAATGAGTTTGCCAACACTGTGCTAGGGAAAGGAAAGCTTTTGGTAAGAGTCATGAGGTAGGGGTTTACTCAGGAAAGGGCAGATAAGACATTCTAAAACAAAAATTAGGAAAAACATGACGTAGTTATATAGGTCAATGGAATACAACTGAGCGTTCAGACATAAAACCTCACATTTAAGATCAATTGATTTTTGACAGGGATGCTAAAAAAAATTAGTGGGGAAAGAATGGTCTTTTCAACAAATGGTGAGGAGGAACTGAATATCCATATGCAAAGAATGAAGTTGCACATACCACTTCACATCACACACTAAAATTTACTCAAATTGGATCAAAGACCTAAACATATCTAACAAGGGGCCCGGTACACAAAATTTGTGCACTGGGGGGATGTGTCCCTCAGCCCAGCCTGCACCCTCTCTAATCTGGGACCCTCAGGGGATGTCCGACTGCCGGTTTAGACGCGGCCCCAATATCAGGCCTAAACCAACAATCGAATATCCCTCTCACAATCTGGGACTGCTGGCTCCCAACTGCTCGCCTGCCTGCCAGCCTGATCACCCCTAACCACTCCCCTGCCAGCATGATCAATGCTTAACTGCTCTGTCAGCCCGATTGCCCCAAATTGTCCTACCATGCCGGCCCTATCTCCCCCAACTGCCATCCCCTGCTGGCCTGGTTGCCCCAACTGCCCTCCCCTGCTAGCCTGGTCACCCCTAACTTCCCTCCCCTGCAGGTCTGGTCCCCTACAACTGCCCTCCCCTGCTGGTCTGATCACCCACAACTACTTTCTCTGCCGGCCATCTTTGACCACATGGGCGTGGCCACCTTGTGTGAGGGCATAAAGATCAATTTGCATATTATCTCTTTATTCTATAGGATAAGGGACTTGCATCTAGAATATATAAAGAATTCTTACAACTAAAGACAAATAATCCATTAAAATGAATAAAGGATCCAAATAAACATTTCTTTTTTTTAAGTATACTTTTATTGATTTCAAAGAAGAAGAAGAAGAAGAAGAAGAAAGAGAGAGAGAGAAAAAGAGAGAGAGAGACAGAGAGAGAGAGAGAGAAATAGAAACATCAATGATTAGAGAATCATTGACCGGCTGCTTCCTGCATGCCCCACACTAGGGATCAAGCCAGGAATCCGAGCATATGCCCTGACAGGGAATCAAACCATGACTCCTGGTTCATAGGTCAATGTTCAACCACTGAGCCATGCTGGCTGGGCCAAATAAACATTTCTTCAAAGAAAATATTAAAATGGCAATAAACACATGAAAATATACTCAACATCATTATTCATTAGGAAAATACAAATCAAAACTACAGTAACAGATAACTTCATATCCAATACGATGACTATAATAAAATGATAAATAATAAAGAGTTGACCAAGGAAATGAAAATATTGGAACTATTATACACTGCTGGAGGGATTGTAAATGGTACAGCTGCTTTGGAAAAGAGTTTGGTCAATCCTCTAAAGGTTAAACATCCATATGACTCAGCAATTTTACTCCCAGTTCTATACCTAAGAAGAATGAAAACATATCCATACAAATACTTGTACACAAATGTCCATAACAGCATCTATATATATAAAAGCCAAGCAACTGGAACAACCAGCCACTATGATGTGCACTGTGGCTGGACCGGCCAGAGGATGGGCTATGGGAGGTCGGAGGAACCTCCAACCCCCAATCTCCCATGGCCCCTCTTGCAGCCAGCCCAGCTCTGATTGGCTCCCATCGGGGCAGGCCAGGTAGACCCCACCCATGCATGAATTCATGCACCGGGCCTCTGGTTATTCATAATATTAAAGAAGTGTAAACAGAGGCGAGATCCAAGATGGCTGCTCGGGTAGACATCCAGCCGCGGCAGCACACAACAATTTCAATGGAATACAACTAAGATGTAGAGTGGACATTGCCCAGAGCTACAGGTAGTCGACTGACTGAAATTTCTACAATAAGAAGGAAAGAGAAAACCAGAAAGAAAATCAGAGGAGCTGAAAAAAAAGCCTAAGGTACGGAGACATGCTGCGCGCCCGCCTGCACGCGCGTGGAAAGGTCACAGCCGGAGAGGAGGAGAGGGCGGGGTGCTGCCTTTCCCTTCCTAGCAGGAAGGAAATAAAACCTCCAGCCTGGGCTGGGCCCCCGAACCGGCAGCACTGAGCCCCCCGAACCGGCAGCGCTGAGCCCCAGCTATGGGCCAGACCCTGGGGACCCAGGCTTCGGCAGGAGGAGACGGGGCTGTGAGGCGGAAAAGCGGCGAAAAGCAGGGCCCCGGAGTCGCGTGCAATGCACGCGCAGAGGACTGAATGTTGACTCTGATGCTGGGTTGCCCTAGCCGGAAGAAACAAGGCCTCCGGCAGCGCTGGGCCTCAGTCCGGACTGCTCCGAACCCCAGTTCTGGGCCAATCCCTGGGGACCCAGACTCAGGCAGAGGGAGATAGGGCTGTGAGGTGGAGTCCGGGGAGAGCAGCGAAAGGCCGGGCCCCCGGAGTCGCGCGCATACTGCGCGCAGAGGACAGTCTGTTGACTCTGATGCTGGACTCCCCTAGCGGGAAGGAGAAAAAAAGCTCCAGGCTGGGGGAACACGGCGGGGAGCAGGAGCCCCTGCCGGATGCCGGCCAACCGGGAACCAGCAAGGAGCCCAGCAACGGGGCCCCTGAGGGGGGGGGGGGTGCCCCTGAGCCTTCCACCGCTGAGCGCGGGCAATGGAGCCAAGGCCAGGGGGGCTGCTTCCTGGGCGGCGACGTCCCCGGCAACAGGCTAAAGCAGAGCAGGAGACCGCGGAGAACAAAGGGTTGCCACAGGCCAACTAGCTGAGCTCCCAGGACAAGGAGGAAGAAACCAAAGAAGTTCTCAATGTGAAGAAATCAAGTGAGAGCAAAAAATAGTAAAATTACTTAAGAAAGAATACAAAGAAGTTCTTGAAAAATCAAAGACTAAGTCAGAACTCAACACAACAGCCAACATTGCAACATAAATGCGTGTGGTTTTTTTTAAAAAAAAAAAGAAAAAAAGAAAAAAAAAAAGGACAGAATGTTGGAACGGCGGCGGCCAGACCTAGGGTGGCCTGGCACAAGGCAGTGGCAGCCAGGCCCGGAGCAGCAACGGCCAGGCCCCAGAGCAGCAGCAGCCAGAACCAGAGCATCAACAGCCAGCACTGGAGCAGCCAGACCTGGGGCAGTGGCAGCCAGGCCTGAGGCGGAGGCGGCCAAGCCCAGGGTGGCCAGTCCAGGAACAACCAGACCCGGAGTGGCTGGGCCCGGAGAAGCCAGGCCCAGAGCAGCCGGGGTGGGAACAGCCAGACCCAGAACAGCAGTAGCCAAGCCCAGAGCATCCAGGCTGGGAGTGCCCAGGCCGGGAGCGGCCAGGCCCGGGACAGCCGGGCCCAGAGCAGCCGGGTTGGGTGCGGCCAGGCCCGGAGCAGCGGCTGCCAGGCTGGGAGCGGCCAGGCCCGGGGGAGCAGCCGGGTCGGGTGCGGCCAGGCCCGGAGCAGCGGCTGCCAGGCTGGGAGC